CATAACATCAATCTCAGAGGTAACCCTCTGAAATTGTGTGCACAGTTTAGCCGCCTGGAATGCCGGCGGCATTATTTTTCTCTTCGGGTTTGCCAACCTTGGAACTCACTCTCAAACTTCCTTGTTTCCTCTCCCAACTTGGATATTTTCACAAAACGATTGGAACTTGCCCTTGGCCCCCATCACTTCGTTGCCTAAACTGTGCAACTTTGGAATATATTAATTACCCCTCCAAACCGGCTTAGCATGTTACGTAAACCTGAGGATGCGGGACATTACTGAGTATTCTTGTTTTTATGTTTCACGTGTAATACATCAAATATAACTGCCCCATGTTGCCACGTCCTTCACATTCAATTCCCACGTACACTACTACTATTCAGCAGCGTATCTGTTGGATAAACGCTCAAACGGACAAATCACCTATCATTTGCTAATTGTAGTTTTACCCCCGCCATCCTGCGGGACTTGTCAAGCAACTGCTTTTTTACCCGATATAAAGCATTCTTTATTGTTATGATTTTTTGCATTTATGTCTTTGCTCTCATTTACTCGAGACCATTGGCTTCAACAACTTTATACCCAAGGTAGAACGAAGTTTTCACTAAGAGTCCACCTAATGATGCCAAGGTTACGTCCACACAGGGCAAAGGAACATTTAGATGAATCTAGGTTTAGTCTGTGCAGCGAATCGATAACTAAAACGTAGCGACTCCCTTTAACCTCTTAGAAAAGTTACTTCGTTTTGAACTCAAATTTTATGTGTTCCGTAAACCGCTGAGTGCAAACTACAATGCGTGATTCGTTCGGTCTACATATCATACCTTCAACTAGCTGAAAAGCTAATGTGACGCAAAAATATTTAATACTTTTCCATTTCAAATGCCATTCAGCGTAATGTCGCTCCACTGAAACTTGGCTTAACAGTTGAGCAAAGATAGAACCTGATACTTGCCATCTTCTTTATGGACTTGCGCCGTTATTTGTGATGACCAAGAGAAAATAACACCGAGAACATGATGCACGGCATATGAAAAGAAATAGCTTGCTGAAGGTATTTTTAGAATTTCGATACCTTTGCATATTCACTGCGCTTGTGGTAGAACAGCAAATGTCATTCTGTAACTGCAGTTCCGCACCTGTTGGCACTCTAACTCCGTCATTATAGAAATCCTGTTGTTTTTTTCATGGCTGCATGTTATGGTAATTAGACTCCAATTGAATCTGTGACACATTTGTCTTCATGTTCAACTACATTCCAAACAAACAGATAATGTAAGTTAAAATAGCATGCTCGATTCTGTCTTATGGAGTAAAAACAACTCGTAGGATTACGATGGTTTGCTAGCAATAAAAAGGTTTTCAAGACGCATAACTAAACAGAAAAATAAATATAAATTTCCTGCGTGCGCGATGCGTTCTCTTTTGTGGAACGACTAATATACAACGAGTATTTTCCACATTTCATTTGTGAACGCATTCAATATGGCGCAGTATGGAAATAGTTTGTTGAGTATATGATAACACCAATTTAATATTAATGTCGTCATACATCTTTCGGACCGGATTCCATGGACTGCGGTAGGACGAAGAGCTTGACCACATTTGACAAGCAAACAAGTCATTAATTAAGATCCAAAAATACTGTCGTTCTCGCTGGTTCTTAGTTGCTGGTTCTTAATGGTTTATCCCACAGATAAGCGTATCTCACCGAGAAGAAATTTAAACGGATAGTTGTCTTGCACCTTGGTAATAAAAATAATAGACATTGCCCATTACTGGGGTGATAGGTTAAGCCATATTGCAAAGCGACAACCATACTGCCTAATAATACTTGTGTGTATATTTTATTGCAGAAAAGAGTGACATTGCTTTTCAGTCGTCAAAACCAGAGTAAGTCGAGCTGGAGGTAAGGTCTATGCTCATAAACATTTTTGTAAAGGAGCGCTGGACGTATTCCAAAGCAATTCTATGTTTCTATCACGTGGCTATATATGACTGTACAGTACACTAGAGTGAGTCGCATTATGAGTTTGGAAGGTTCAAGTCATATTTGGGAAATTAACGTTAACCTACTAATGTAGCGCGTTAGTTGCTTCGCTTTCGCTACTTGATGTAGAATGTGTTCGAAGAAGTTTAAGCTGTTGGAGTATCGAATTCCCAGGTCTCGAATGGATAATGCAGTTTGGATGGGAGTGTCACTGTGAGTGATGGATCCTTCTGGTATACTGCATCCGTCGCAGCGTATCTGAGATGTATCTGCAGAAAACCTCATAGACCTGCACTCGCTCCATTTGCCTAGGGATGATAGGAATACGCGTATATTTTTAAGGCATAGTTCCCGGTAGTCATGTAGGAATGCGTACACTAGTTTGATGGCGTACGCAAATGAAAACGAACACCCGTGTCTAATATAACCACATATATCGTTTATGTAAATGAGGGCAAGCAATGGGACAAGTACACAGCCTTAAACGACACCACTAGTGATCTTACTGGAAGTCGAACAGTTCTAACCAATGTGCAATCATTGTGAACGTTCGTTCAGATATGAGTGGAACCAGCTCAGTAAAGGATTGCTGATTTCATAAGATTCAAACACGGCCAACAATAGTGTATGCGGTACACAGTCAAACGTTTTTAACATATCCTGCAGAATGATGTTGATGGCATTCCTCACAAAATACGCAACTGCAATATGACGAAGTAACTGCAATTGTCAGAGGACGCGGGAACGTTCTGAAGTGTACTCATGTTGGGAATTACCGTAACGTTTGCTTTGTCTGGATATTTGTTACCGGATAATTGAAAATTCTTCTAGGGCCTTAGTGGTGGCGGAGGTCCAGTATTTCTGTCGATAGTTTGATATTCAATCTCGTGGGCCGTCTTTGTGTTCCGGTAGAATTAAGGAATTTTTCAACTGAGGCTTGAATTAGGAAGTGTTTAGTGAAAGAGCAAAAATGTGCAACATGAGAAGGATTATGTTTCCCCAAACTTAACCTCAAAGCCACAAGAGGAATACCATCAGGTGTTGGTTGGCATGTCGGTTTGTGGAACGTAATAGTTAATTGTACGTTCTTTTGTCTCAGAAGGATGTACATTGAACCTATTCCGGTTATTTTAGAAGAAGATAGAGTTAGCACAATAATAAACAAGATGGCAAAGTATGAATGAATTAAATCATATATTAGGAATATATCACCTGTTGAAATGCCGTCGTAAAAAATTAGGTGTGACATTTCTTGGGATCGTTTCGGATTTCTGCTGAGTAATTATATCAATGCGTGCGCTTTCTCTGTATCCGTGATTGTTCGAATTTCCTCTGCAATTCCAACCCGTTGAGTGTGGTATCTAAGTTTCATTGTTTCGTGGGCTTGTACCAATATGGCGATATATTTGCTTTTCTGGTAGAGTGAGCTTATCTTTCCTAGCTTGTGAGCAAGCTTGAATGTGTGTTTGCATCAGCCGTCAAAGAGGTTTGTGTTTATCGTCGACGTAGTTGCTAAAATGTCCATACGTGCGATGGTATTTTACGCGGTCTCACTTCACACAAATGTACGTAGTGTTTGTGATGCTCAAGATTTTGCTGACATTGGAAGGTATGAAGTCCGTACTGGTCACACCCCTGTATTGTGTTTGCGTACTAGGTTATGCGCTTCGAACCTAGTTTGCATGAGTGATACCTTGGCACTAAAGCAAACTCATTTGGATCCACTCCATTCACTCTAAAACTGCTTTAGTCCGTACTCTGCACGGCATATTATAGTTTACAGTTAAGGGATTAAAAAGTATTTCTATGATTGCAGAATATATTATGGATTATTTATTAAACAAATTGTCGCATAACAATCACGTAGCCTTATCTGATATAAACTTCGGTTTGGTGAATCATTGCTTTGAAACTTCATGTGTCCAATTTGGTCAGCCAAATGATGGTTGTAATAGCCTGATGATGATCGGTACTCCTTCCGGAATAGTGAGGACCATGTACATGTTGTTAACTGGTTACAATGTTGATTCTTAGCTTATATTTCTTTATCGGCAGCTTTCATACATTAGGTGATGACCACCACATCAAGCACAAGGTTTGAGATTGATGACTTTGCCTGATCTTTCAAAGCTGAATTTAAGAAACACGTTGCGTGGTTGGGTTGCAACTCGCAACGTCTATTGAGACCTCGGTTCACTGTAAGGTATACCTCGGTCATTCCTATCTCGAGGACCGTATCCTGGATGGAAATATTTTGGTGGTGCTCTTCCCAACGTTGGCACACCAGGACCGCGCTTTCGTCCTGGTTTGGACTCCTCAGGTGGAGATAGCCTGAGCTGGGGTGGAACTCAGAGCTTAGTAGTTCACGGCTGACGCCCTGAACACTATGCTACTGAGATCCGCGAGCAATCCTTGGCACAGCGGTAAATAATCCAAAGCTGAAGTTTATTGGTGTTTGTAAGTATTAAGGCGTGAAGATACATAGGAGGTCTAGTGGCTGCGCCTGCTAAGCCACTGTAAACCGTAGCTCAAAAGCAACATTCAGGGGTCTTGTTTTATATAGGGATTGCACAACTGCCACTCCCATCAAAGAGGTGGTAAGTTATTATGAGGCCGAGAACCTAAACTTACGGCTCCTTAGATGTTATGTGATACTTTTCAACTGTCCATCATCCGACGCCGTCCTAGGCGTAAACGTAACATAAATTTAAGGATTATTGAAACCACAATGGAGTTGAATGCAGTTCCATTCTTCAGCGGCATCCTTTAGGCTTGCAACTGTGGAATATGCCATGCGAAATAGAATATCTTTTTGTTTTCTTTGAGGGAGTTCAATGATCAATGGCTTTAAACTGTGCAAATGTAGCGATATCAACGACTGAGCAAGCGGTTTGAGTTGAAGCAGCCACAACCTTCCGTTGTGACCTCGGTACAAACTATTGAGGAACTTCAGCGTACAGTAACAATTTTGTAAATTCCTCAATGCAGAACGTAAAAATCGAAGGCAGAATTCTTGTCTCCCTTCTTTATGACAAAACACTGAGAAAAAATCACAAAAAATAAGCATTATCGTTTCTGCTATTATGAATTGTTCTAGAACAAAGGCTTTCCGTGGAAGCATGAGAGAGATCAATCAACCATCTGACCAGTTAGTGGTGCAAATCGGCAAAACACAGAACATTAGTTTTGCGCAATCATTGGGCGAGTGCCTACAGAACAAGCGCTGGAAGTAAGTGGGCTTATCATTACAGGGTTCTGTGCAAAATCAGTGGCTACTGATACGCGTGCGTACGGCAGCTAAGCATGCAACATGTTCACAGTAGTTAGTAAAGATCTGCCACAGTCTTTTCTACAGAAGTCATTCACTAGGCTGGGATTTCGTCGTCCCCTTCAGCGAACGCCGTACTATACTTGCGATGTTTGTCGAAGACACAGGAGGAAACACCTTTGGGTTGATCGTATTGTTCCATGGACATTGAACGTCCTCGAGCGGGTATTTGGGGCAGAGTGGTGCTCATACGACGATTCACAGCTGCGCCAGCTAAAATTTGAGGGGATAAACGAAACCAACACACGTGTATGTAAAGCGGAGCAAATGGTGTAAAGCACTGTAACAACAATGATGGGCAGGTGAGACCAGCTTTTCTTTGGTTAGACACGATAGTAACTATGACCTGGGGAGTCCAACTTGACAGGTAATGAATTTTGGAAGTTATAATTTGATAGCCAAGCAACACATCAATAACATAATGTGTCCATTAGATGTAGAACGGAAAAGCAGGCCCCAGGAGAGCAGGTGAGCTTGTAAACAGCTGGAACATCCTTGTTGATTTAGCACTAGCGTCAAAATAAATTAAAACCACCACTTAAGGACAAGTAGTCCTTTCACTGAAGCAACTGAACCACAAAAAGCAACGTGAGCTATATCATATGCTGTTGTGGTACAGTAAAAATATAACAGCAGGATGGATTGAATCATAATGATAAATGAACGGATTCATTTTTTCTCAACAATTTACGGCCTAAAAGATCCGTTTGTTTCTTTTTTCTGTCAGATCAATTGACAACGCGTCAGTCAGACATTATTCAGCATTGGATAGTGGTCTACAGGGATGATGGCGAGAGATCTACCGAGTTTGATAGACGCTATGCAGAGAAAAGTATCAGAAGAAATTGCCGGTTATGGCTACGTTCAAGTTAGTCCTGAAAGCAGCCATTATTTCTTCGTGGGAAAGATATCTTTCGTACGCGCTATCTACACGGCTGATGGAATGCGGACCTACGCCCTATGACTGCAATAATACACTGATTCGTTGTCTTCCACACTTATCACGTACGTTTTGACTCTATATACTGCAACCACTTCTGCTGTGGTCAGATGTTTTTTCCGTCAGCATTCGTCCCACCTCCTTTTCAGATAGCCATTGTGTTTTTGGTGTAACTATTGTTAGTAAATATTGCGGATCGAATTCCAGACAGACCATGATGAGTATCGTGTTTCACTGTGGATTTGACCGGTTCTACCTGTCCTTATGCAATACACAAATGCAAGTATTGCTACGGAGTTATAGATCATAATATTGATAGGATCGATGCCGCCAAACATTTTGTAGGAAACGACTGTTAATAGTGCCTCTTAATTAGATAAAGACCCCACCCATTAAAATCTGTTGGAGCCAAATTCATTTGGCAAATGTTAAGAATTAAAAATGACGCATTTCTTTAGGTTAACAATGTCCCTTTATTTGGTGCACGAGTTCCGGATTTTTGGACAGTGTGTCTCGTTTTAGATTTTGTTTAAATAACATGCAGCTCCTTTGACCTATCTAACAAAGTGGTTCAAAAGCATCATGTAAATGTACGCCTTTATCGCAGATTACCTTGATTCGTATTTTTAGCCTGTTATTGAATCCCGTTAGGCACAAAACTGGATCTTGTGTCAATGAAACTTGATAGTATGAACTACGTGGTGAAATGGGCTCATTCGTTAAAATTTTATGCAGTGTGACTGTTTAATCTGAAAAGCCGTCTCCCTTACTCCAGCCAAGTGATGTAATACTGCCTCGCTGAAAGAATAAATTGTTGATCAATCAAACATAAGCCTGTATTAAATAAGGATATCTAGGAATGACAGGTAAACATTCGGTGACAGCGAAAAGTATTATTTTCTAATATCCACCACAATTAGCATGAAAAGCTTGTTACAATTAGGTTTCCAAGAAAGCCACAACAACTTCGTAGAAAAACAATTGCATTTTGTTCTCCGCCTTTTTGTTAAGCAATCTACCCCAGCAGTAAGACCTTGAGGAATAATACATCCCCTGCCTTCTCAGGTAGCTGCAATCACATGTGAGTCGTCTGAGACTAACTTTGCCAACTAAGCCCCATATATGGAACACATCTTCAAAATAAATTGACGCTACGGTATTTGATAATTTTAATATCTTTGCTTCAGTCAACCACTCTGTGATGCCACGTCAGCTAACAAATGTTTTAATGCGGCGTTAAATAGCCGTACATAAGTCTAATAATTCCCTGCGGCTTACAAAGCTGACTAGGGGCTAGTCAATTGGGCCGATCGAGGTTCATAAGTGTATCTTCACTGAAGCCGATAGATTTTAGGAACGATATGCGCCTGCATAATTTTACATCAATCCTTACCGGCATAAAGACCCCACCTTCTGAATACCAGCGGCTCTAAGAGGTCAAAAGGATATATTTTTTCGATAGCAAGTTGTACTTTGTGTGTACGTGATGTTTAAATTACAACCTTACTTTTTGTTTCTGTTCTTAAACGACACCTAGCCTCATTGAAATATCCTGACTAAATTGAGTTGACTCATACCTAGAGATTTGAACACAAAAAGACAGTTTTGGTCAGCGATATACTATATCAACACATAAACAAGCATTGGTTTCCAGAAAATATGTGCTTACGCCGCCAAAGTTCTTGATCTAGACAAACAATAGGTGCTACCCCATCAACCAAAGACGCTTTATGTCTGCAGATTACTTCAATCTGGTCTATCCATTTCTACTGGATAAATTACAAATATACCTCGGAAGCATATGTAAACACCTCACCGCACTAAATATGGATAGTGAACGGCTGGTAAGAAACTTCACTGTAAGAAAATCCCAAGTAAGTAAGTAGAAATGTCGCATCCCGGAGGTCTTTATCACTCTTATGGGTTGGGTGCTTCGTGCCTCTAATTCGTTTCTGGACTTAGGAGCTTGGTATCTAAATACTTAAGTTTCTCTGTACATATACTGTAACAAGTCACAAAAGCCCGATAATTATCCGGCTATATGCCTAGCACTTTCTCCGTAGCTGAAGCGGGAATTAACATATAAAAAACCATCATAAGAGCTTCTTTCACAGCTAACATTCACAGCAAACTAAGTAAAAGGATATAGTGCTTTGGAAAAGCACACAAGACGAGCATACAAGCAACTCTTAATGTCGCGGTGCTCAACCATGCTTTTTTGGATCTTCCAATCACCTTCGACTGGATTAGCTTTGGCTAAGAGGAGTAAAAAATAATGTCCATATGTTTTACAACTTTATTAATAAGCCGACAAGTAAAGACAGCATCACCCTTTAAATGTGGAAAATCGCTATCCATCCTATGCATAATGGTAGTTATCTGCTCACCTCAAGTCCAGCAAATCGCAAAATTTCTTTCGGTCTTAGTAAAATATGCCAAACTGTGGAATCTACTATGACAACTAGAATACGTGCCGTTTGCAAACTTTGTCATATCCAGGAGTTTTCTAGCGACTTTTCTCAGTATACCGAATGTGAAGAAGACAACTGGAACGCAGAAACCTCCAGAAACATTAACGGTATCGGACCCAAAAATATATGAATAGCTGAGAGTCTAAAGTGTAGTTTTCCTTTATCCATACAAGAAAATTTTAGCCTGTGCTATTTACTGGCCCCTTCCCCAATTTTTGCTATAATGTAAAGTTAAAACCAGTGCCATGAAAATTCACAACAGATGAATGTACTGTGAGTGATCGGGTTGCTGCTAGATGAAAAAATTTATGATCTGAAAATCTTAATTTTCTGATCAATAAGTTTCAGGGCGGAGAAACAAATGTTCGCTCCTACATAAGGGTCGTATACCGCCGAACGGTAAGTAAACCGCTTTCTTTTATTTATTTATGTATATGCTCAAACTGGTATTGTGTAAGGTAGGGTGCCTAATCGCACACTTTTCCTCGTTTCAACATTATTCACCAGTAATTGAATCGCATCCTTTACAGGATGATTCATATTCGAACGAAGGCAATTAACCGAACGAATTAACGCCTAACCAAAGCCGGTAAAGCATGCCAAATTAAAAACAGCTCTGTTGTGTTACATCGATTACAAAATCTTAACCTCCGGTTAAACCTCAAGAAGTGTAAAGTTAATTCTAGTGAAATGGAGTTCCTGGGCCACATTGTAACAACTGACGGCGTGAAGCCGAGTTTTGACAACGCCCGTGTCATCGCCGAGGCTCCTCGTCCACAGAACTTCACCGAAGTAAAGTAGTTGCTAGGTATGTGGTCTTATAACCTATGATACCTGTAGGATTTCACGAACAATCTTGAGCCACTGCGTGAACTGACAAAGGAAAAATGTATTTGTTTGGGGTCACCACAACATAAGGCACTTGAGGAGAAAAAATGCCCCATTGGTGCCACACCATTCATGGCGATTTTCGACGAGTTGTGCCTAAGGATTGTCTCCACTGATGTATCAAACACTAGGTTAGGTGTTATCTGATCCCAAATTCGGAATGGGCAAGAAAGAGTAATTGAATACTTTTCAAGGAAAGTGTTCGCGGTAGAGGTTTCTTACTCTGCCGGGGAAAAAGAAGCTCTTGACTGCTTTTGGGCCTGTGAGAAGTGGAATTTGCTCTTGTTCGGAATATCGTTCACTCTTCGTACAGACCGCGAAGCGCTAACTAGCTTACTTACTGGGGGAACAACTGGCATCCGACCACTTCGGATACACAGCTGGTATGCACGTTTGTTAACATACGATTTTCAAATTAAAGTTTGCCCCGGACGTGAAAACCAGGTAGCGGGTGGGCTCTCTCGACTGCCACTAAACGAAACTGATAATAATCTGGACGATAATGTCAGGTTACTGGTATCTTCCGTGAGTAATGAACCAATCTCAGCTCCTATTAAGGAAAAACTCCAGATGACGAGTCAGGAAGACGACACAAGCTGCCGCGTTCAGGGGTTTCTGTTAAACTGCAAGCCAAAAAATAGCAAGACTACAGACGAGTTTCTTTCGTTCCTTCAACTTCACGCCATCCACCACTCACGTACCGCTCCGTATAACTTAGCGGCAAACATCATGGTAGAGCGGTACAATCGATTTTTGAAAGAGAGTATCCGAACTATTGACTTATCGGGTACAGGTTGGGAGGGTGAAGTTCTACAAGCAGTATCTTTTGCGGAAGAACACACCACCGAGCCACAGACAAATGCCAGCTGAACTCGTGTTTGGGCACGCCCTTCGGACAAAGTTGAATGACGCACTTCCGATTCCTGCAACTAATAACTCCGACGAGCTAGATCGTCCTCATCGGTATCAGACAACTTACCGGACGCTTACTACTGCGCTCTAGTCGGGAACATTCATGAGTGTGAAGGCAAACGCTGAATCCGATATGAATAACGCGCGCATGTGGGCCAGGCCATTACCGGCTGGGAGTTGGACGCACTGTCCCCGCACGGAGCTTCTTCCTAAATAGCAGATGTATGGAGCACGTGCCACCTGCCTTCACTGACGAAACTACGCAAAGCACGCAGCTCCGCAGCAAGGGCCGCGAACCAAGACCACGGGAGTGCTTACTTTTCGAAGACGCTTCCAAATTGACTTGGGATAAGACTTTGGAGTTAGCTCACACAAAAACATGTACGGCCGAACAATTGGGATTTTTCACTACCCACGCAGACATACGGGATATTGCCAGGACCCATCGCCCCCCAACCGAATCCCAATCCCCACAGAAATACTTCCGCTGCGATAGCCTAGAGCATAAAGCCAATTTTACCAAGTGCTCTTACTTAGAAATGGATTGCAAAAGGCGCGGAAAGCGTAGACATTTTGCCCGTTGTTGCTGTTAAGTACGCATTTCACAGTTGCATCCTCCAGATTCCGTTTCTAGTCATCAGTTACAGGCATCTGAAAATGTATTTTCCATTGATAACAAGGTACTGTGTCTAACTATCGTTTCACTTGTCTAAAGCCTAAACTCCTTACGCCTACCATGCGTACTGTTAAACTTATTGCACTTGCTAGTCTAGACTAGCCTGGAAGCATGCTGAGCGAATACAGAACAATCCCCTGTGTGGAAAGTACGAAATTAAGCTGGCAGACAGCTATAGTCATCCGTGTCGTGTAACATAGCATCTACTGCAGATTGATCTCCATTGTGGTACGTAACCTACTTCACTGAGCTTTCGGGAAGTTTGACCCTTCTGTCTTTCCAAAAATGCTTAGTGCGTACGTGACGCAGCAAACGGAATACGCTATTCAAGCGTGGAAACTCTGGCTCAAGCACCATCTCACTGCGCTTGATACTGCACAATGTAGGGCAACGAAGAGCGTCAGAGGTTTGACCAGCCTCCCCTACCCACTCAGGTTAAAGACTCTCAAAATATACAGTGGACGTTATCGGCGTCTAAGGGGCGATCTCATAATGGTGTACCAGATCCTGAGAAACCCAACCACCCATGACATTCCCTTCTGATACTCAGTCAAAACACCCTGCTAAATGGTCGGCAGTTAAAGCTGGTCGCGCAGTAATGCCGACTGGAATGTCAGCAAATCCTTTTCTCCCTTCGAGTGTCACAGCCTTGGAACGCCCTCCCGGAAGACGCAACTAATGCTCCCACCTTATCCCTTTTCAAAAAACACCTTGACGATATTCTGTAACATCTACACTACGTGCTATAGCCCATGACCACCAGATACTGGCACTAATGCATAACAGGCAATGGACGGTGCTATAAACCTACTCGCGAAAGATTCACTTTAAACCCTTTGTACACGGTTGGATAAAAGCTACAACTGTAGAAATTGGATTTATGTATCCCGTCGCCCGAGATAGCTGCACAAAAGTAAGCGTTGTCCTTGTTATTTTTTATTTTCTCGCCTATTATATGATAAATAACCACTCCCCTAATTGCTTTGTGTGCGCATATTCTAATTTTAAAATCTTTTTATACGGCAGCGCAGTTAAATGTGTAATCGCCTAAACCGATGATTCCCTTATCCCTTGATCTGTCTTTTTTCACTCTAACCACCCAATTGGACATGTCAAGCACCTGCTTTTTTACCGGTTTTAAATCAGTTTTCATTTTTTATGGTATTGTAGGTAGCTATTTATTTATTTACTTCACGTGATTTGACATTACTAGGCTAAGTGACGCGATAAGGGAAGTCTTTGGTGAGTAGGCGTCATGATTTCTGATATCGTTTCATCTTGTTGGTGCGCAGTACTTGTGTGGTAGATCACCGGAGAAACGGGATTCCTTTAATTTGTCTCCTTCCGCTTCCATTGATATGCATTCGACAACTCAAACGTGCAAGCTTTGTGACCCAGCTGTTACTGTCAGAGTGCAACTGATTAGGCCAGATCAGCTGCGCGCTAAATTAGACCAACAGCGGTTTCTACATTATAATGCTCGGCACTTCCGAACAATAAGGCATTTAACTATGTTGAACCTTGAGCATTTGTTAAAATTCTGTCTGATGAGAATCCGTAGTTTCTGCTCATGGTTAGCGAATGTTGAGGAACACATAGGTTCAAGAAAGCTGGCTGTACTAATTAGAGTTTTCAAAAGCGAGAAGGTTTTCTAGTACAGATCGCGAATATCTGTACATTCACTGCCATCAAAGGTCTGACTGAGTTGCTTTCGGTGCATTGTAGAATAAAAGGCGGGATGCATCTTGGCAATGATGCAGAGATAAAGTGTAAGTTACTCAAACGGCGCTTTCCGCCTCGTCATATTAATGCCTCGCTAACAAGTACTGTGTTTTGCTCCTCCACAGCACGGCACTCCATAAACAGTTTCGTAGGTTACATTCCTTAGACAAGTTCAAGACAATGGGATGCTAAAAAAGCGTTTACTTCTAAGCCATCAAACTACGACTGACAACATTTGTCAGAACGGTGACTTATTCAACGAAGAGTCTAGTGTATCTCCTGCGTTGTGCGGGTCTTAGTGTATGTGGGTGTGGTTGTCCGATGTCATTATGTCTTTGTTTCAGATGCTGACCAAGTGATCAAATTGGCTAAGGTTCACTACTATGTGAATTACGACCCATGTTGAGTTTGCGCAGTGATATTCTTTCACACAGCCCCTGCTTCAAAATGATCTATCCAACATGATTTGGTGAAATATTGTAAGTAAGAACTTGATAGTTCACAGTGATACAAAAAGCCGACGAATGAACTCGGGTGATTAAAGTGGAATGCCGCAACCAAAGTTCACTTTTTCTCTTACTCATAATAAACGTTTATATCGGTTAGTGGTCCGTCAGCTAGGATACAATTGGGACAACCAACAGTTAGTTGAGGTGTATCTGCGTCAGGTTGTCAAGCGGTCAAGAGACATTTCAAGTTTCATGAGTTGCTGAGTTAAAGTTACTGACAGCTTGTCGTATAAACAACCACAATGTATCACGAGCGGATTGTGTAGACATGATAAACGTAATTGTCTAGTTGTGAAACTGCCTGCACGTGCTAGATTAGCTGTGGAACTGTTGAAAACGTGGCAACTATTAACTAGTAACAAATTAAAACTCACCTATACCTAAGCCCTGAATGAAGTATTGCAACGAATAGGCCAGTTTCTCCGGCTAAAATGAAAACAGAGATAAGGAGTCTGTGATTTTGTTGGACTATGTTGTTTGGATTAAGCCGGCAATTTCACTAAGTCATAATCCTCGGTCAATCAGCCATGAGTTATCGTCATTACCCAGGTAAATTTAATCCCTATGGGAATAACTGATTTTGTCTAACAGAATAAAGTAGAACTGAACTTTTACCTGACGGGGCGAACGATTACTTGATGTAAGAAGAATGCAGCAGGATGCCACCACACTGCTGGATGAATCACTGGGTACATAGGCGTGTCCTCTGGTTGTCCTAAAATGACCCACTTCTAAGCGCAGTCAGTATCAACCCATCGCCCGATGAGGTATTCCATCTATCGATCGTGAAACGATTCACCTAGGAGTAAATATCGTTTGGCTTTCATCAGATAGGGTTTTCAGTGCCCGATAGAAAGTTTTGAGAGACAGATAACGGTTACCTCGTTCATAATTGAGTAGTTTCTGATAGGGTTTTATTTGCCTGTATACTACGGACACTTTACAACTAGCCGAGGATTATCTATGATCGGTAATACTGGTAGGAGGGCGAAACAAACTCTCAATTACACGTTATAGAGAAGCAAAAACAACACGATTGGGGTAAGAACAGCAAATTCTTTTGTCGGTGTCCACAGCACTGACCCGGCATACAAGTACGTTTGCCACATCATCCACCTGAAGTAATTCAATATGTTTCAGTTTTTCCGGTTGATTTCGAACCGCGTTTCGAGCGACAGTGTACAGACGGTGTACGGAACGATTGTAGGGAGATAGCGTTCCGGTGACAAACAAAACAGGGCAACTGTGGAACAGAAGAAGATAACGGGGCTGAGATCAACAACAAAATATGTCGTACTGTGACATCCAGATAAACGTGTGGGTGTAAGCTAATTAGATATCGATCATAATGATTAGTCGGTATGCTTTGGAATTTAACAATTAGTTTGAGAGAAATAGACATGAAAGCAGTAGACGATAGAAAAGGTAACTGAGAAAGAAGTTGCTAACCAGAAAGCCATAAATCACCAATGCATTCATATATCTTGCGCTTTTAGTGATGAATTTGTCGCTAAACCTTCGCGATCCTCAACCTTGGTATAAACAGCTAATTGTGGTTTTTAGAAGACGTATACTTACCTTAATGTACTGATTTTCTCAAGAATTTTAGAACGGCTAAAAGGATAGAAAAGTATAATGCGTTTTAGCTTGTGCAAATATTTCCTAATCGATATTCTCATATAGGATTTCCAAAGTAGAAACGGCAATCGCTTATCGCGCCGGTTTTTCAATCAGTCACGATTCCTGGTGCTTAATTGTTCACGACCTCTTGATCCATGAAACACAAGACTGTAGTTCATACTTGTTAGACATAGGTAATAAAGAGTGAGAACTGGACGTATTGCCTAACGGAGAATCTCCTTTGGGTATTCCATAAGAGTTTTAAGATTAAAAATATCCCATATTTTCTGCTCCTTGTTACGGTACCACAGGCTTCTCAGCCGTGGGAATAAGAATTTCTTTGAGCTCATTATTCGTTTGTTTGTGAATACCGATGTCTCGACTAAAGGAGGGTTGTCTGAAGGAATTAAGTTGTCGGTTACACTCCTGGATTGCCTACTACCAATCCTCAACAATGATTCCCTCTAATTATATTCTCCTTTGATATTACTAAGTTACAATACTGTACAGTTCTTATCACTAACTATAAAGGACCACTTAACCACACTAGAATCAAACATTCAAAGACGTGCGGCAGCAGATTATTGCCTCTACTACCGTACTAGGCACATTACTGTCATCGAAATATTATATCTATATCATACACATATATGCAACGTACGCAAGCAAATGGCCATTGTAATAATGAGTAGTTAGTCAGGGCTTTGATGACGTATCTGACTTTTAATTGGATTATCTATCAGCTGTTTTGGAAAGTGATATTTTTCGAGTAAAGTGAAGCTCAATCTGAGCCGGCTGAAATGGTTAACTAGAGTCTTGTTTTTCAATTCAATCTTGATATATTTTTGCGATCTTATCCTTTGGGGCAAGCAACGCAGACTTTCTTTCGCGGAGCCTTTAAATCGGCTGCTGTCATTTTCGCCAAATATCATTTTTGCACTATCTACTGCATATATGTCAGTATAGCAACATTACACCGACAGACATTTTGTTAAATCAACTTCCAAGGCCACTGCGACCCTTTACTATATCCAACATTGAATATGCACACAATATGTCGCGTACAATCCCCGATATATTGTTGCTGGACAAAAAATTCGACGTCAGTTAAAACGAATTCTGAAGAAACATTTTTACGAAACCATTTCGGTTTTCACTGGATGCAAATCCCGAAGGTTTAGTCCAACGTTTTGGGATTGTTGCTTGATTGATCTATGACAGTGTATCCTCATTTTTATATCCATTTGTAAACATTGCATTTTACTCATAATCCTCTTGTAAATTTACAGTTGATAATGTAAACTGCTGAATGTGCACCCTTTTGGGTACATAAA